TGTAATTTTCTTTTTGTGTTTTGTTCTGCACTCCCCTCCCTTATTATTGTAAGCCGCCCTGAGTCCCCTTAGGGAAAAGGGCGGCCTATAAATGTTTAATAAAACTAAACTAAACTAAACTGCTGGGGCAGGAAAATTACAAAACCAACACTCGTCCCCATAAGATTCCTTGCTTCAGTAGAGGCCGTTCTGTAAATATTCCTATTTCGGACACAGAGAAATGGGCCAAGGGAGGGACAGAAGGCTTGGGACCAAACCTCTTTCTCCTCCATAGGGGGGGGGGGGGGGGTTGGCAAAGTCAGGGAATAACCTGGCCAGAAGCGAAACGGATGTTGGGTTTCCCCCGAGTTCTCCATTTACAGAAGTTCGTTCTTGTTGGCAAAACTCCCTTTCCTTTCATTCCTGGTCTTTCGGATGATGCCACCGGCCACCGTCTTTTTCCTTTCAACGAAAGCCAGGGCATAGAAGGAGGTTTCTAAAGAATCGATTAAATAATAAAGGATTTGTCCCCTGGGGTTCGCCTGGAGAGTAATTTTAAAAAAAGGACCCTGGGGAAGCAGAAGACGCCCGTCTTTCGCTGCAGATTTCTCCTGTTGCTTTCCAGGGATTTGCAGCTGGCGGCCCCTAACTTTAAGCTTCCAGCTTCTGTGGAGTTTCCCCTGGTCTCCGCTCACCCTTTAACATGTCTGCTAAAGTGATTTCTATCTCAAGAGTTTTTAATTATTCTGCTTTCAAGGAATTGTTGCTTTTTGGTTCTTTTTATATTTGCTATCTTTTAAGGTTCATGGCTGCTGTTTTTATATACTCTGCATTATCCCTTTTTTTTCTGTTGATAAGCCACTTAAAATTCTATTTGGAAGGGAAAGGAGAGGAGGAAGGAAGGAAGGAGAGAAGAAAGAGAAGAAAGAGGGGAAGGAAGGAGGGAGGGAAGCAAGGAGGGAAGGAAGGAGAGAAGGAAGGAGAAGGAGGGAAGGAAGGAGGGAATGTAGGAGAGAAGGAAGGAGGAAAGGAAGGAGAGAAGAAAGGAGGGAAGGAAGAAGGGAAGGAGAGAAGGAAAATTCTATTTGGAAAACTGTGTGTAAAAAAAAAAAAACCTTAACAAACCTTAACCCTTTAAAAAAAAAAGAGGTCAGTTGCGCCACTGGAAGGTCCAGAGCAAGCTGCCCCCCCCCTCTAATTATTTTTTTCGATCCGTCTTCCAGCCGTCAGCCTGAGCCATTGAAGAAGGAGAAGGAGGCAACAACAACAACAACAACCACTCCTTCTCATTCCAAGAGAGCGGATGAGTGGAAGGACCCTTGGCGCCGATCAAAATCGCCCAAAAAGAAGCACGGCATGTCCGCTTCCCCCAGCCACGCGAGGAGGCGCCGGAAAGCCTCGGCTTCGTCGGCTTCCGGCTCAGGTTCTTCAAGGTATAAAGCTGGAGGATCCCCGGCTGTTTCTCCCGGGCGGCCTCTTGCAAAGAGAGGCTGCAGTGCTGTCCCGTTCTACGCAGGGAGACGGCCGATGTCCCTTCAAAAGGTAGCTTTTAGAAAGAAGGAGAAGAAGGCCCCGGTCCCTCCCTCTGGCGGGATCTGAAAACGGTCTCTGGAGGAAAGAGAAGGGGAGGCGGGCCTTTCCTCTGCGTGAAACGAGGGCAGGAAGCCGGGAGGTCTGTGGGAGATCTTCCGGGTGCTCAATTCCCTCTTCCTTCCCCTTTCAGGTCATCCTCCCGCTCCTCCTCCTACTCTGGATCAGGTTCTTCGCGATCACGTTCCAGATCGTCCTCCTACAGCTCCTACACTAGTCGCTCTTCCAGGCACAGCTCCTTCTCAGGCAGCCGGTCCAGGTATGGCTTCTCCCCCCCCCTCGGCAGTGGCCAGGGCACTGCAGGAGTCCTGGGGTCGCTCCTCCCGTTTACAGGCCGTCACAACTAAGAGTAGTGAACATCCGAGTGTCCTACGCCCCACCTAAAGGTCACCAGCACATCACGGGAGCCATGAAATCCTGAACAAAGAATTCATAGTTAAGAGCATAGTAAAGAAAAGAAATACGTCAGTTTAGTTACTTTATTGGCATTCCATATTTCTTAGCCGCCAATCTCCCTCGAATTGTCTAGATGTGACCAGGAATGTGAGCAAGGATCTCTGAAGGGCCCAAACCCTGGATCCTGTTGTAGTTTCTGTAGGGTGTTTGGATCTCTCGTCCAGGCCTTGAACTCCGGGCCGCTTCTCGAAGGCCAGAACAGGTTGACGGGGAAGATTCCCGCCTCCGAAGAAGCCCATTCTAGGGCCTTACGGCTTAGAAATTGAGGAAATTTCCCAGCGGGCACAGTGCCAGCCGGGTTTATGTGTTGGCATTTGCCAGCTGCACCTGTAGGTGATCAAAGGTGATGAAATCCTCGGGTTTAACCCGACACCCGTTTTTTTTAATCACAACAAAGTGACGAAACGGTTGAGTAAACAAACGATGACGGTCCTGTGACCCGCGTGGAATAGCAGGTTGAGTTGTTGAATTGCACAGATTGTTTATGGAGTCTCATGACCGTCATCAAATCCGGTGATGCTTTCAGCTGTCACTTACCCCCCCCCCCCCCCCCCCCCCCAATCTCAATCCACTCCTCCTCCGATTCTATGGAATTTTTCTCCAGCAACTCGAAGGTTTGAATTGTCTCCCTTTGGCCCAACCGCAGATTTCTTGGCTCCTGCCAAGAATGGGGGGAACGGTTCTCAAATGGCGAGGCTGGGGTCTCTGCACCATTAGGGGCATGCAGCCGCCTGGATCCCGCAGAGAAGAGAACCCCTCTCCCCCTCCACTCCATGTTATGGTCCCAAACAGGGCAGCGCCCAGCTATATCTAAGCTAACAGTGGCACCCTATTGTAAATGGTTCCTTGGGTAGGAATGCAGGGTGAAAATCCGTCCATTTTCCCAAATTCCCCGTCCTTTTCCTACTCTCTGTCCCCCTTGCTGGCAAAGGGCGGCCTTCGCAGTGGGATTAAGGCAGGAGGGCTCGTGGCGCAGACATCCAGGTAACAGCACCACCCCTGATTACTGGAAACTTTTGAGGTGTGTCCCTTGGTTTCGCCTCTTCTGGGATGTGCCACCCACATATTCAGTAACTTCCTGCCTGCCCTTCAAGAGCCGATTCCTCCGTGTCTTGTCCTCATTGGCACGCAAGGCACGATGGAAGTGGAGAGTTGGTCCTCCTGACTTCCCTCCTGTAAGTTCCTAAGCATGGTGGTGTCGCACACCTCAACCGCGGTGAACATGCAGACCACAGTGTGTGTCTCTGGGCGACTCCCAAACCACTCGAGTAATGGATGGGTCGATTGTTTTAAAAGGAAAGCAGAGATGCCCAGGGGATTTCTGGTTGGCTTGCTCTGACGTGCAGCTGGGGAATCCAGAGGAGGGGTTTTTCGTGGATTCGTGGCACCTCTCTCCAACAACGAGGATTTAACTGATCTTCTAGATCAGTGTTTCTCAACCTTGGCCACTTGAAGATGTCCGGACTTCAACTCCCAGAATTCCCTAGCCAGCGGATGCTGGCTGGGGAATTCTGGGAGTTGAAGTCCGGACATCTTCAAGTGGCCAAGGTTGA